TGATATCATACCTATGCCTCTGTCTCCCTGGGATTTCTTGGGGGTCAAGAAGGTCGCAATGAGCTGAGTCTGGGCTGGCCAGGCGAGCAGGGCTTCTGCGTTCTTCAGAATATCAGTGAATTCCTCGATGGCCTCGCGAGGGAGGCGTTGGAAGTCGACTGGGCTCAGGACGTCCACCCCCAGCCCTGCCTTAGCCTTCATGGCCTTGGCGCTGGCGTAGACCAGGTCTGGGGTAAGCTCAGGAAGATCCTCACCCTGGGCCGCCTCTCGAATGAGACGAAACACTTCCGTAATCTCGCTGGCGTCGGGGGGCCGTGGGGCCCACATCCGCTTGAAGGTCACCGCCTTGTGCTCCATGATGTCAGCTGGATGAACGAGGGTGCGATCCCCCACCTCCAGCTCGCTCGGCGGTAGTGGGTTCGCCTTCAGTGACTTGTGGAGGATGCCCACGGCCTCTGGTCGCATCACAAAGGTCTTAAAGTTGGAGATCGACTCGTGGACTGCCGCGCGCTGAGCCCTGCTGGCCACCCGCTTCGCTGCCAAGACATAGTTCTCCAGCACTGGGGTCGACAGCCGACTCGGGTCGCCGAGGACTGCCAACCACTGGTCCCACGGGGCCTCACGGCCCGCGTTCAGAAGGCTATGCACCCCTTCAGGCCTGGACTGCCGTAGGAGGGTACTGGCCTTGCCGTACTCCTGCTGCTGGCGCTGGCCGTTGTCCCTGCTCTGGTGCCTGAGGACTCCAGCGAGCACCGTGTGGACGCGAGTCCACCACTGGCTACGTTGATCATGAAGGGCGAGCTCCCGCACGTGAGCCGTGACCCTCATGGGCTTCTCGTGGATCCTGGGCCCCACGGCGCGCGTGGGCCCAGCAGGGGGCCTGACATGATGGTGAGTATGGAAAGCCTGCTCGACCGCCGTAACCCAAGTCGCGTACTGCCCCGTGAGGAGCTTTCCGCGAGCAGGTTCGAGCGAAAAGGCTACGGAGGAGGAAAGGAAAGGGGAGAGACTCGCCACGGCATCCGCTCCCGACCGAAAGCCCACCTGCAGTCGAGCCTCGGCCCACGTGGGCGCTGGAATTTCAAACGGAGGGTCGGGCACATCTTCGACCACGGGGCACGAGGGAGCAACCTGCTGGGGGGGGGTCGGGGCGATGCAACTGAGCACTACTATTACCAACTTTGCTGCTAACTACGGGGTTACTTGAAACCGCCGAGGGGGGAAGGGGTTGGGCCTCGCATGCCGACGAATTGACACTGGCACTCACATTGACTGCATCGGGCTTTTTGTCCCCGACGGCCGATGCGCCGACCGCACCCGATCCATCAGACGACAGCTCGCCACCTAGGTGTGAGTCAGAACAAAAATTAAATTCGTGGGCCCAGGGGTCCTCCTCATCCTCTGGGAAGGCAAAAAAATCGTGGTCCAGATCAGGGTCCTGATCGGCCTCCTCGATCACCTGGGGACGCGCAGTCCCTATTTGCGCGGGTGGCTCCAAAACATCCCCGAAGGCCTCCTGGAACCCCTCGACCCTCTTGGCGTGAGCTTCCTGGCGTCTAACAGCCGCAGCGGACCTGGCCTGGCTGGACTTAGATCCAGGAGTGGGCTCACACCGAGGCCTCGGGAGTTGGGGCAACTTCGGGGGCAGTGAAATCTCACGCGTCCTAAGGGTCTGGCCTGAAGCTCGCAGGCTCAAGGCTAGCCCGAGATGAGGCTTCCACGGGACACTTCTGACTACTTCCAGACTCTGGATGAATGAGGACGCGGCAGCGCTCATATAAACAAAGTCGATCATTGTGTCAGGTCCTTTTTTCTGGGCACAAGTGCCCTCAACTCCAGCTGGTACTCGCACATGGCCTCCCGTCACTCTGTGGAAGGCCGTGCGCATGAGCTCGTCTGGCGTCATGTTGAAGTCGCCGATGATCAGCCACGGGACTCGGAGTGAGCGGAGTAGCCCTCCGAGTCGGTTAAATCTCTCGATGTTCCTGCCCGTCATCTTGATGGACGGCAGCGCGTACAGGGCGACCACCGCGATCGCGTAGCTGTGCTGCTGCAGTATCACTGGGCAGAATCCGTCGTACGCCGACTGCTTCGGCGCCTTGAGGTACTTGGCAGCCGCCCTCGCCTCGGGCAGCTGCTGGATCTGTAAGTGTCTGCGGGACAAAACCATCTCACCTCCCTCGTTCGAGTGTGCCTCCTTGGCCTTGGACACTACCTTCGAGGTGCGGCGAGCCGAATTCATGATCATGCGGAGGTTGAGGGCTCGGCTTGCCTTTGTCCACTTCTTGACGTCCGACTCGCGATGAATGTGAGTCTCAGTCATGACCCAGTGGTCGTAGGCTCCCACGTGCTCCTGTACGTACTTCCATACCTTGTCCGTTGGGCATGTGACGTTCGAATAGAATAGCCTAGTGCATTCCCCCTCGTCACTGCCCGCCCCCTCGGTCTTGTGGGTCCGAGGGGTCCCCGTTCGACACCGTCAAGCTGAGGGAACTGCAGGCGCCCCAGCAGCGTCACCACTGGCGGTGCCCTTGCCCTTCGCCTTCGTCACCGTCTGCTGCGCTAGGAACTTGGCCGCAGACAGCCTCTCCGCCTCCGCCTTGACGGCGTCTGAAGGGTCACTGCCGCCGCCGCCCCGCCGCCGCCGCCTGTGGAGTTCCCTGCCGCCGATGCCGCCGCGGCAGGGGGTGCCCCCTGGCCCCCGCCGCCGTCCGCCGTGGCCGCCTCCTCAGGAGCGCCGTCAGCAGGTGCACGTCTCTTCTTCTTCGCCCGCTCCTCGATGGTGCGCCTATGCTGCTGCATGGCCTCCAACCACTTCTGGATCTCGGCCTCCTTGCCCGTGAGAGTCTCCTTGGCGCCCTGCAGTTGGCCTCGGAGCTCCTCAAGGGCCTGCTTCTCCGCGTCCGTGGCGTCCAGCGCCGCCAGGTTCGTGAAGAAGCTGTCGTCCCACTCGAGGGAGATGATCTTCTTCTCGCCATCGGAGCTGAGCTTGGCCTCGGTGACCCCCTCGGCCTTAGCCAATGCCGTGGCTGCAGCTCGCTTGGCCTCGGTGGTCTCGGCCAAGTGGATGGCCGCCGTCCTCTCCTTCGCCTCCGCAGCTGCCAGGTTGCTGCGGAGGCGAATGACGTTGCTGACCGCCTGGCTGTGGAGGTGCTCCGCGTTCCTCCACGCCCCGTCGGCCCTGCGCAGGGCCTCTGCGGGCGTGGTCTTGGCGGCCTCCCGCCCGCTCTCCTCCTTGGCGAGCTTGTCCAGCTGCGCCTGGAGGTCCACCTTGAGCGTGGGGTCGGTGGCGGCTGCGAGGGCCTGCTCCAGGAGGCTCTTCACGGACTTGCCCCCCTTGCCGCCCTTGCCGCCTCCGAGCCCGCTCCCCACGGGGCCCTTCAAGATGCCTGGGCGCCGTGGCTGCGGGCGCTCGCTCTCGCTGCCGCTGGTGGCGTCGTAGAAGCCGTCAGCGTCGCTGTCGCCGTACTCATCCACGAACTGCACCCGCCTCTGTCTCCTCTTCTTCTCGAACGGCTTGACCTCGTTGCCACATCCATTGCAGATGTTGTGGCGGCGGGCCAGAACCCCATTCCATTCACATGTCTGGCACTGCGTGCATCTGGTCCACAGCTGGTGCTGGTGGCCGCCCGCCATTGCTTCTGTCCCTGTGTTGGTCGGTGCCTCTTCTTGGCTGGCACGCAGAAAAGACACAGTCCCTCAAGCGCTACTGGGAAGCCCAGGGACGAACTCAAGAGAGCAAGTGGGCCTCCTGGGGCCCCTCACCCGCTCGAGCCCAAGTTGCTTGAGGAGGAGGAGGGAGGAGGAGGAGGAGGAGGAGGAGGAGGAGGAGGAGGAGGAGGAGGAGGAGGAGAGGAGGAGGAGGGGGGGGCAGCGGGAGGGGCAGGACGAGGGGCGGAGGGATAGAGCGGAGAGGGAGGATGGGTGCAGAGCGGGGATAGTGGGCGGGGGAGGACGTAGGATGGGGCATGGGGGAGGGGGGGGGGGCAAAGGGAGAAGGGCAGGTTCGCGTCGCGATGATGTCGGCGTTGGCCTCTGACACCCCGTGGATGGTTCGACCTTGATAGATCGCGGACTCCCGATACCGCAGAGCTTTCGCTATCGGCAATTTCTGGGCCACTGGCGGCGTTCAACCTTGAACGCCCGTCCTGAGTTCGCCGCCGCGTCAACGCGGCGCGAACCTGCCATCTGGGAGAGCGGGAGGGATCGCATGCAGGCACGACACGAGGTGTGTTCTGGCGGCAGGGAAAAGAAGAGGGAGGAGGGGTGGAGGAGGGGCACCGGTGCCCAGGTGTCCGATGTCCTGATGTTTGTCCGTGCGGGGCCCCGGGCAGTCTGGAGCCAATCCTCAGGGCGGCTTGTTTCATCCCGAGCCGTTGTCTTGACGGCCCAGGGGCTCGGCGGGGCCCCTGGAGGCCGACAGGCCGACAATTGCCAGAAGCGCCCCCGTCGCTTGCTTCTCACGGCGCTGGCAAGTCTATGAAGAAGGGAAACCAGAAAGCCTCGATGCTCTACATGTTAAGGCCTTTCAGATTGGGTCCGACTAGCCGGGGGATGGCGGATCGTGCCGCTTCGTCGATGCATCGTCGACGTCGTCGACGCATCGGCGACGTCGACGTGGAGCAAATCAAGCTCCACATCGAGTCGCATCGCCGATGTGGTCGCGATGCGGAACGATCCTTCGACCCCATCCGCTCGGATCCCGCTTTGGAGGCCTATGGTCGGGAATTGTTGGATAGCGTGTGGCCCTGGCGGCCTGGCGGTACGTTATACCTTTCAAGCGGATGCCGTGTCGCTTCGCTCCGCAGGGCGGGATGCTGGGAAATGTTCGGGACGTTGACGCTTGGGACTGTAGCGTGCCGCTCCGAAGCGTGGTGGGCCAAGATCGGCGGAGCGACACGCAGTTCAAAAGGCCTCGACGGTAGAACGCGCTCTCCCCAGGAGCGCCCACATGGTGCAGCATGGAGCAGCGAGCGAGGCGAAGGCGGAAAGGGCGCGTCCTTGGCGGCTGTGCCGTCCGCGACCGCGGCGCGCAGCAACGACTCGTCCCTGGGGGGGCGGGCGCCGGGGTCCCCGCCGCGAGCCCGGCGCGCGCTCCGCAAGACGAGGGCGACGACGGCGACGACGACGACGGCGACGACGACGACGGCGACGACGACGACGACGGCGACGGCGACGACGACGACGACGACGACGACGACGGCGGCGGCCGGCGACGACGGCGGCCTTGGCGGCGACGAGCGACGGCGGCGAGGCCCCAGACCCGCGAAGCCGTAGCCTGGAGCGGGCCGCGGGTCTCAGAGGATGAGCAGGCACACGTACCGCTGCCCTTCGCTCGTCTTCGCCTTTTCTGGGCCTCCCGGGATCGGCTACACGCAGTGAGTGACCCTAGTTAGGCAGGAGTGACATTTGATGCGCGGCTTAACGGGGGTCGCGTGGTGGCCAAACCCAGGCGCGCAAGCCGCTGCTACCGCGTCGCGTTCAGCGATCGGGGGACCCCACTGGGCCCGCACCCAAGGTCACTCCAGAGAAAGGTCATTCTTCCGTCTAGTCGACAGGCTGGATTCGCCTCGAAGTCCTTGTCAGAACGCATCCCGAGATTGCACCCCCAGGTATCGGCACTTACTGATTCATTCCCGGGGATGAGACAAAATCGGTTTGGGATAAATCGGGAACAGCTCGCTCCCAAGTCTTGAAGCATCGCGTTCTCGCTCGGAACCCCACATAATTTTCCAGAACGAATCGTGCTCTGGCCTGGGACCTTCTCATGATTCATCCCTAGCTGGCGCCCTCGCCGCAACCTCTGGGAATTTCCCAACAGAAAGCGAGCACGTTTCAATGTTCCGCCCGCCCGACCAACCCGACAGGGTGCGTCCGCCCGCCAGGCCCGCCCGTCAGGGTCCGGCCGCCCGACCTGCCTGCCAGGGTCAACTGTGCCGACTGTTCGGGAACCTGGCCGCCCTCTTCAACATCCCGCCCGACCCGGCCCCTCCGTTATCAAGGTCCGCCCGCCCGAACCGCACGTGAGGGCCGCACGCCAGACCCGCCAGTCAGGGTCCGTCGCACGACCCGCCGGTCAGGGTCTGCCAGGCGATTGCTCGAAACCAAAAGCCGCCCTGCTTGAATGTCCCGCCCGTCCGGCATGCCTGACCCGCCAGTTGGGCGCTGCCCAGCCAACCCGCGTGTCGTACCCAGTCAAAGTCTACCCAGGAGCTGGCATAATCAAAAAAGAGCCCCCCCCCCAAGGGATAGAAACGAAGAGCGCGGGAGACCAGGGCTTGGTGTGTACATGTCGAGCGACACGCAGGCAGCGCAGAACGATCAGCCTTCAGCTGATTGGAGGCAGCAGGAGAGAGCAGGAGGAGAGAGAAGGAGGGAGAGAGGAGGAGGATGGAGGAGGAGGGAGGATGGAGAAGGAGGGGGAGGATGGATGGGGGAGGGAGAGGGAGGGAGGAAGGAGGAGGAGGGAGAAGGAGGGAGAGAAGGAGGGAGCAACGAGGAGACCCAGCAAGCAGATCCCTCCGCTCCGGGCGGGCAGTCCCGCGGCCACTGGCCTCCACGAAGACTGGTTCTCACCCGTCCCCGGCTATTTTTGGGCAGGGGACAAAGATCCAGGCCTGCAGGATATTCGTCATACATATATGGTTGTGACGTGGAGGTAGTGGGTAAATTCAGAAACGCGTCCTCTTCCGCGCGCGGGAGAGGACGCGACTCACCGGTGAGTGTCACACCACGTGCCGTCACGCGGCGCAGGGCTGGAGCGCCAACCAAAGCGCACAGTGTACATCTACTGGCTAGAACAGCGCACGCCGATGTGAAACGCGCCGAGAACAAGACAGATTGGGTTGGATGGCGGATTCCCGCGTCCAGCCCGCCGAAGCATCCAAATCATCAGGGCTGCATTGTACCACGGGGTGTCACACATAATGAAAAGAGGGCAGGGGAGAAGCAGAGCCGACGGTGAAAGATCGCGCGTGCGTACCCCTGACGGCGGGACGCGCACAGGTGCCCAGCGCCGTGCAGGAATAGAACGCTGATGTGTGGGCCTGGGCGCCTTTGCGGCAGGTCGCCCCCGTTTTGGCAAGCAGGACTCGCCTCACCATCGGCCCTCAGCCCGAAAGGCCCGAGGAGCGGAACGAAAGCAATCGATGGAAGGGAATGGAGGACGGAGGAGGAGGAGAAGGTTGATAAGGAGGAAGAGGAGCAACAGCAGAAACATTGATCTGAAGGAGAATCAGAGGCGAAGGCGGAAGAGGAGGAAAACTGATGAAGTGGAGGAGGATAACGAGGAGGATGAGGAGCAGAACGAGTAGGGATGAGGATGAGGATGAGGATGAAGATGAAGATGATGATGATGATGATGATGATGATGATGATGATGATGATGATGATGATGATGATGATGATGATGATGATGATGATGATGACGAGGAGGAGGAGGAGGAGAAGGAGGAGGAGGAGAAGAAGGAGCGGAGGAGGAGTGGAGGAGGGAGAAGGGAGGAGGAGATTGAGCGGAGTGGGGCGAAGGGAGTAGGAAAAGGACGAAGAAGAAGACTCCGGCTTGCGCTGCATGTCTGAGGCGATGGAGGATGAGGAGAAGCACCCCCCGCTGTGGTTGCAGAAGAATCCCACGAGCCCGAGGGCGCGCCTGGCGTCAATAGCGTGGCGCAGCTTCTTGCGGGCCGCCTCCGCCGCCTGGAGGGTGGGGGGAGCGGGGGATGCGAGGCGGGGTCTGATGCATCACCACCGCCCGGGGAATACAGCCAAGCGATGATTCAGAAACGATTCGCCTAAGAAACCTGGGCCACCTTGCAGGCATGATCTCGCGCAAACGCCTGGCCAGCCATGCTCGCTCACCCCCAAACGTGCGGAAGTGGAAGCCGAAGCTGGGCCAGCTGACCGGAAACTGCCGGCGAAACCCTGGGCCAAGGCGAAATGGGGAGGTCTCTTGATGATCGGCGCAACTACAGATCTTCGGAGATCTCGGGAGGCGGTGGGCACGGGAACTATTCGGGCCCTGGGGAGGTCAAACATAGCCATCGTTCTGCCAAGAGGAACGATAACGATTGAACACGCATCTTTGTTCCAGCCACGGCGAGCCTCGGCCACGAAAAGGTCCCAGGACATAGATCCACGGAACGGCCCGAAAGCCAGCGCCCCTCCGAGCCCGGAGTGGTCCCTACTTCAGCGCCTTGGCCGCACATCCGTACCCACCACCTGCCGAAGTCCCCGAAGATCGACCCCCCGCGCGTTGGTGATGGAGATCCCCGCCTCGGAGGGGCGGAGGCGGACGAAGGGCGAGGCGGCGGCGGCGGCGGCAGATTTTGCCCTCGGCCCTCGAGGACATCGCGGAGGGAGGTCTCTGGACGGCTCTTCTTGTGTTGGCCTCGGGGTGCACCTGGGTGGCGGAGGGAGGCGGAGGCGGAGCGTGGAGAGGACGACGGGAGGGGAGGAGGAGGAGGAGGAGGGGGAGGAGGAGGAGGAGGAGGAGGAGGAGGAGGAGGAGGAGGAGGAGGAGGAGGAGGAGGAGGAGGAGGAGGGGGAGGAGGAGGCGGAGGGGGAGCAGGAGGAGGAGGAGGAGGGGAGGGGGGGGAGGAGGGGAGGGGAGCAGGAGGAGGAGGAGGAGGGGAGGAGGAGGAGGAGGAGGAGGGGGAGGAGGAGGAGGAGGAGGAGGAGGGGAGGAGGGGGAGGAAGGGGGGGGGGGGCGGGGCGCCAGACCAGGAAGTGGCGACCTCCGAGCGGCTCCGAGGCGAGGCGGGGGACCCGTGGGCACGGCTACCGTAGCTGCCTCCTCCGCCACTCCTTTTCCAGACATCCGCCGATACGGTGCGGGCCATTGGACAAGGAACCCTAAGATAAATAATCCAGGGTCTGGAAGCCAGTGGAACTTCAATCGTGGATCGACCATAGATGTCACTATCGCTTTGCGTTCGGCGATCGGGGGACCCCACTGGGCCCGCGCCAAAGGTCACCCTGGCGCGGGCCACTTGTTCGACTAATGGATTCACACACACACACACACAACACACAAACACACAACACACACAGGCACACACACACACACATGGTAGCCCCCCCCACCAAGATCTACCTGATACCCTTCTTGATTCGAAGTTCTCTTCGAACATATTTGTCGTCGAACAGGTTTACAGCATTGTCTTTCAAATTCGTAGGCCGCCACACAAGGAATTCCTTTGTAAGGCAGCTAATATTTTTTCTGGAGCCAGCAGCGGGAAACCAGGAAAGCAAGGAAAAACAAGGAAAACAAGGAAACCGCAACGACAAACAACGAAAAACAGAAAAGGATTGCGAAAACGCAGCAAAATACAATGAAACCCAAGAAAACATATGAAAACACAACAAAAAGCAATGACAACGTACAAAAATTTATGGTTTCACAAGTTTCCTGTTGGTTTCTTTATTTTTTGCTGTGTTGTTATATGTTTTCTTTGGATGTCACTGTTTTTTTTTGCTGTGGTTTTGTTTAATCCTTTTCTGTTTTCCTTGTCTTTCGCTGTGTTATCCTTGTTTTCCTTGTTGTTCATTGTTGTCCTGGTTTTCCGCTGCTGGCCCCCGAACAATGATCCGCTGCCTTACAAAAGGATTCCTCTCATCGGAAAATTAAGAAAACAATGAAAAACAAGGAAAACAATGAAAACACAACGAACAACGAGGAAAACAGGAAAGTTTCCGTTGTTTTCAATGTTTTTCATTGTTGTCCTGGTTTCCCGCTGCTGTCTCACAAAAAAATATATAGCGGCCATACAAAGGGATTCCTTTTGTGGCGGCCTTACAAAAGGATTCCTTTTGTGACGGCCTTACAAAAGGGATTCCTTTTTGTAGCGGCTCTACAAAGGGATTTGTTGTGGAGCCCTTACAAAAGGAAGCCTTTTTGCGGAGGCCATGCAAAATATGCCTTCGGTGGCGACTTGACAACATGTTTTCTTCTGCCGCGGCACTACAACATAATCTTTTTCTTGCGACCCAAGTGGTTCCTCGATGGATTCTCGTGTTTTACCATCGTCACAAGAGAGGGTTTCAGCTCAGACTTTGTTGCCTTGGCACGCGATGCTTGTCATGAGATACGTATCGGAAGACCAACAGTGCTACCGAATTCATTCCCTCGGATAGCTTGAGCCGCGGCGGACGCACCTCTTGGGGTTTTCTTTTTTCTTTGTGTTGATTCGTGTTTCAGAAAGGGGAAAGTATATGTATTTGTTTTGAAAAGTTGGCTGGTGCATGCCTACTGTGAGAACCGCATCGAGCGAAGAACATCGCTATCAATGTTGTTTTTTTTTGGGGGGGGGAATTTGATTCACGGCGGGCGCACCCCTTGAGGGTTTTCTTCCTACGAGTGTCGCCCAACAGGGAGAAAGTATGTGCATTGTTTGTGCATTGTGGGCGCGGGGTTACGGCCGTTAGAAGCGCAGCGGGTGAACGCTAGACGCTGTTGTTTTATTTTCGTACGGAATTTTTTTTCATGGGGTACGCGCGCCGTGAGTAAGCCAGCGCGTTCTGCATTTTTTTCGGGCGTTGTTTGTCTGTTAGCAAGAACGCCAGAATCTAAATAAGTAAACGTTGTATTGCTGCGAACATTTAGCACTTCGAAATGAATCCGTCACGTCCTTCCATGCACGATGGTGCGCCCATCAATATTGGGCGACGATTTCCAGATTCATGGGCACGAACTTCTTGCGGGCCCCTGACACTGTCTGATGTCATTAATTTGGATGCCCCTGCACGCGCTGTCTGCGTACCCCGCGCTTTCGCTTAACGCGTAATGTTGGCCCTCCGCGGTTTTGCTTAACGCGAGCTGTTAGTTATCGGCTGGAAGAGGAATCTTCGACGAGCTAGCAGGGGCATCCGTTTTTGGATGCCCCCGTGATCGCCTTCGTCGTTGTCTGCCTGCGCTTCCAACAGTGGCCATGGCGCGAATGTGCAACGTATAAACACTCCACAACAAAAAAATCCCTTTATAGCGCCGCTACAAAAGGAATCCCTTTGTAAGGTCGTCACAAAAATAATCCTTTTGTAAGGCCCCCACACAAGGAATCCCTTTTGTATGGCCGCTATATATTTTTTGGGGGACAGCAACGGGAAACCAAGAAAGCAATGACAAACACTGAAGAACAACGGAAACACAACGAAAAACAATGAAACACAAACAAAGAATGCGACAACGCAGCAACATACAATGAACACCAAAGAAAACATATGAAAACACAGCAGAACGCAATGAAAACGTACAAAACATGTGTTTTCACAGGTTTCCTTGTTATATATTTTTTGTGTTTTCACAAGTTTTCTTTGGTTTTCTTTTCTTATTGTGTTTTCGCAATCCTTTCGTGCTTTTCCTTGTTGTTCGTTGTGTTTTCATTGTTTTCCTTGTTTTTTTTCATTGGTTTCCTAATTTTCCGATGAGAGGAATCCTTTCGCAAGGCCGCGGATCATTGATCGGGGGCCAGCAGCGGAAAACCAAGAAAACATTAAAAAACAAAGAAACAACAAGGAAAACACAGCGAAAAGCAAGGAAAACAGAAAAGGACTAAAAAACAACACAACAAAAAAAACAATGAAACCCAAAGAAAGCATATAAAACCATAGCAAAAACAACAGGAAACATGTGAAACCATAAGTTTTTGTATGTTGTCATTGCGTTTTGTTGTGTGTTCATATGTTTTCTTTGGTTTTCATTGTATTTTGCTGTGTTTTCACCATCCTTTTCTGTTGTTGCTTGTTTTTCGTTGTGTTTTCCTTGCTTTCCTTGTTTTTCCTGGTTTTCCTGGTTTTCCGCTGCTGGCTCCAGAAAAACTATTAGCTGTCTTACAAAGGAATTCCTTGTGTGGCAGATCAAACGTGCCACCAGACCAGACACACCAAACCAGCCCAGACCAGACAAGACTTGACAAGACCAGACCAGACAAGCCGGATTAGACCAGACTTGATCATGACACCATATCAGACCAGGCCAGCCCAAACCCGAACAAACTGATCCAGATCAGACCTGAACGCGGGCCACATAATCTCCGGCGAAACACGATTACGAGCACGACTCTTCGATAGATTTCTCCCACGGGCTCGCCCGCCTGAATGGCTACGCCAGACAATTATGGACCTGAGTCGATTCGAAAGCGCCGTACGATGGGACCCCCAAGCTCCAGAATCTCCAGAACAACTATTCCCAATACGACCCTTTCATAATATCCACCCGCGGGCTCACCCAGCCGCTTCTCCATGCCAGAGCAAAAACTACATCAATCGATTTGTCGCGATCCCTCTGTCGAAATCGCACAACCCAGAATCGTTAAGAACAACTATTACAAAAACTGCCCTTGCATTATCTCCCCTCTCCGCGGGCTCGCCCGCCAGACCTTTTTGCACCGAATTCAAATTGAATTGCTCTCGTTTGCCTAGTGTGCACATGGTCTAGCACATGCCGACAGCGCGCCACGGCAGGCGCTTGGGAGGCTTCTGCTCCTATTTGCAAATGGTCTTAAAGAATTTGGGAGACACGGTCGGCGAAGGTGGCCATCAGCCGCCCGCGTTTGTCGACGAAGTTTTTGTGCTCGCTCTCAATGTTCTGCTTCTGCCGCTCGAGCTTGTTGCATTCCTTTTTGGTCTCCTGGTACTCGTTCTTGCACCAATAACCCCACTCCTCATACTCCTTGTTCTTCTCTTCTAATTCTGTGATGCGTTTTTCCTTATTTTTCCCTGCTGCTTCCATTTGCTCGATTGTGGAATTCGCCGTCTGCAGGTCGCGCATCAGCTTGTTGCACTTGCGTGTCTTGACGTCTAGCTTCGTCTGTGTGAACTTCAGGTGAGTATCAACCAAGAACTTGACAACGGGCTATTTTCTGTACTTCTCCGGAGGATGTGGAAATGTAGTGTTCTTAACAATATATTTTTTAAAAAATGTTACCTCTTATCCAAAATGCCCCGAAACAGAAACACTACAACGAAGCACAATTAGTATACAGGTTTTTGTTTCCAATGTGTCCTGCTTGGCTTTCTCCTTGTACCCTCGGTTGCGGATTATCTTCTTGTTGTACGCGTCCGAACCGTACTCTGGAACCCCCGTGCTGTCAGTTCAATCGGAGGGGGGGTACCGGAGCTGCACACCTGAGCCGCAACAGCAGCACTACTGTAATGGATTGGATCGGAAACACTGCGTGGTCTGCACACGCTCCAGTTCAACCTAATTTAGAAATTGAGGGAGTGACAATCAGAAGGGCGAGGATGATGGGGATGAGGACGATGCAAAAACATGATAAGGATACCTGAGAAAAAATCGGCGGCATCAGAGCCGACCAAACGAGTTTGCTTGTAGGTAGATCTTAGTGGGGGGGCTAGCACACACATCCACACACACACACGGCCGGTTCTGGAAGCCCCGGAACCAAAAAAGGTTAACATCTCTTCTGGGGGCGCATGTCTCCTTCCGCCAACTTCCGCACGCCTTCCTCCGACTTCCGCCGGCGGAGCCGCCCACGTTCTACCTCCGCCGCCTTCCGCCGGCCTTGCGTCGCTTGCTGCCGAAGAATTAGAAACCAACTCCCCTGAGATCCGACGTAGCGAAAGTTGCAAAAATCACGACTGGAGCCCTGGACCCCATCATTCTGCGTTATTTTTCGGGCGGACCGATCTGTGAGGGCCCCGGGGCCAGAAAAAACAGGCGAAGACGCCCGGCTCGAAAAAAATGCATCGCCAAGATCACAGGGTCCTCCGATCCTCGAAGGCGAAGTACCCTTTCTGGAGCGCCCCACCCGTCTCCTGCCTGCGACCCTCCCCCCCGCCCGCCCCCGAGAGGGCCTCCAGCTGCCGCAGCAGCGAGCGCGCCGGCTCCAGCTCCTCGCCGCCGGGCGGGCCCCCCCCCCCGCCCCGGGGCGAAGACTGCGAGGACGCCCGCGATCCTCCACCCTCGCTGCCTCGATCCCTCCGCACAGCCTCCCCGGTCCCTCCTCCGCCCCTCCCTCCCTCCCTCCTGCCTCCTCCGGCCCGAGCCGCAGCCGCAGCCGCGTTGCCCCCTTCCGCGCGCGATCTAATTATCCTTCCGGGCACGGCCCCAGCGCGTCGCTCGCTGTAGAAAGACCGCATCACGCAGGCGTGGAGAGGTTATGGTCTGCCTCCGCCTCCGCCGCTGCGGCAGACCGCAGCGCCAGCGTGGCAGACCGTTGCGCCATCGCCTTCCCCGTGCTGTCCGCCGCCGACTCCACCCAGACGTCAGGCCGTTGCTCTTCCTACTGCTGCTCTACTGCTGTTTCATTGCCGCTCGCACTGGGTACTCAGGGTCCTGGCATCCTCATGCTTACCCCACTTCCGCTCGACGAGCGAGTGCATGGACCGCTCACTTCTTCGGTAAGGACCAGTGGAGAAGTTAGCGTTCTAGGAGCAGGTCCAGCAGTTGCGCGGCAGTCGTATCTACCAATGCCCCTCCCCGCCAGTGGACTTTGCGGGCTGCACAGTCAAGGCCATCAGTGCTCCATCTCTGAGTGCTGCGGACAAACATGCCGAGCATCGCCGTCCCAACAGATGGCAGCGCCTGTCCTCACCTCGGACCGCCAGCGACGCGCTCGACAGCCCGCGTGTTGTGGACGGAACCGATCCCTCGCCTGTCTCAGTGGGTCGCCCCAAGTCGCGACCACCATTGCACCCTCGCTCTCAGAATGAGAGATATGCTGGGTGCCGTGCTCTCGCTGCTCATGCTGACCACGCTGTCATCATGCAAGCTTGTACCTCGTCCGAGCAGGCCAGGTGCTCCGCTGACGAGCGGCTTCAGCAGTTCTTTCGGTCCCAACCTTCTCCTGTTCTTGCTCCTGCGGGACGCCCCCGGGCAGGCGGGGCACTAAAGTGTGAGGCACGCTCGAGTGAGCACGCGTGACCCAAACGGGCGGGTCTGGTCGGTCGGGCGAACCCTAGCGGGCGATCGGGCGAACCCTAACGGGCGGGTCGGGTCGGGCGGGCGGGACACTAAAGCGTGAGGCACGCCAGAGCGAACACGCGTGACCTCTAACAAGCGGGTCGGATCGGGCAGGCGGACCCTGACGGGCGGGACAGGTCGAATCGGGTCGGGCGGACCTTAACGGGCGGGTCGGGTAGGGCAGGCGGGACACTACAGTGCGGGGCGCACCGGAGCGAGCACGCGTGAACCCTAATGGGCGGGTCGGGTCGGGCGGGCGGACCCTAGCGGGCGGGACGGGTCGGGTTGGGTCGGGCGGACCCTAACGGGCGGGTCGGGTCGGGCGGGCGGGGCACTAATGTGTGGGGCGCGCTGGAGCGGGCACGCGTGAACCCTGACGGGCGCCCCCGTCGGTGCAGCTGTGGGAGTTGCGGTTGGATAATTGGTCGGTGCTGCTGTTGGGGATGCGGTCGGCGCAGCAATGCATGCAACTGTCGGTGCTGGCGGGGAAGCTGTCGGTGACCGCGCTCCAGACCCCCACGTTTGCGGAGCGAGGCCAATAGGCGCCGCCGCTCCAAAATAACAAAACAAGAGCTGTCTGCTCCTCGAGCACTGGTTGCTGGAAAGCCACCACGTTAATGCTAGGGCACATCAGGAGTTGACAGAAGGCGACATAAGCGCCTACCTTCGGACAAGGAGGGCAGGTCTCACTTACGAAGACGCCGTTCAATACGGCGCCCTACCAGAGTAAGAGCGTCCTCTCATTCCCTCTCGGGAGGCTCTTAGGGCGTCTGGATATGACCAGCCGCCCCAGCGGGACGCGAGAATGCCAGGCAACACTGCGTCAGACTCAGTTCAGCCTCCCAGCTCCACGGCGTGTCCTGGAAGGTCTTGGCCTGCTTCGCGAGCCATTAGTGGCTGGCTCCGTTGCCTCAAGTGCGCTCCCAACCGGTCGCCAACGCGCCATTAGTGGGCGCATATATCGCGATGGACGTTGGCGCAGTGCCAAGATGTACACAGCAGACAAAGAGGTTTCAATGTAGGCATTGATGTATTGAATTTGCACTTCCGCATGAGAATTACGCTCAGAAAGCTTGGTTCGATCATAGATCCCAGGCGCATCCTGACATGATCCCCGTGCCCGATAGCAAGGTCAGATAGCTCTTGTCCTGCACTGCTCAGTGCCTGTTCATTCGTTTTCAGGCCTCGTCGTCAGCTGCGTTTCTGTCTCTCAGATTTGACTCGGCTTGTTGTAGGTCTGTCCAAGTTCTATGCTTGTGGGTCGCCCTCAGCTGGTCTCCCAGATTGCAGCATTCGCTCTGCGACTCGGGCTTTCTGAGGTGTACAGCTGTCCTTAGTCTGCGCGGGCAGGGCCTTGCATTCAATCAGGCAGTGCGTCTTCTTGCTTGCTCGTCAGTGCATGATGCCTGTTTCCACATTTGGTGCTGATGCCTCTGCAGCACGCCCAAACCTGCCCTGCAGTTAGGGGCGTTCGGTGCCTGCCTTCCCCTCCCGGGTCTCCCCCTTAGCCCCTTGAGCCTCTGGTCACGTGTCGCTCGGGCCCGTGGCTTGGTTTGTCTTGTCATGCCCGCAGCCTTTCTTCGCTTCGTCATTGCCCCGCTCAGGACGTTTCCTTTCCGTGTGGCTTAGCATCGGCTGTCCATCTCTGCATTGCAAGATGCTCTGCTTAACTGCCACCCATGCGGTTGCAGCGTCCGGGCTGGTAGCCTGTCACTTTTTGGTTGGTCTCAATCCTCTTCGAGGAGTTTCAGTTGCTGTGCGTGTCCTCCTCCTCCTCCTCCTCATCATTCTCCGCCCTCCTTCTCCTCCTCCTCCTCCACCTCCTCCTCCTCCTCCTCTTCCTCCTCCCCCTCCTCTCCTCTCCCTTCCTCTTTCTCCTCCCCTCCCACCTGGGTTGGCGCACGCCCTCTTGGCCTGCGAGGCTCCATGTAGCTTCCCATCGCGGCAGAGGCGGCCATTTGTCCTTGTTTGATGTCACACCTGTCTTCTTTTTACCTGAGACTCTTTGCTGCACGTCTGTTACGCTTTGTACGTTTCATGATTGTGCTGCTGTATAGGGCCAGTACAGGGTGGCGATGAGCCTTCATTCCGATCCGATCCGATCCCTCACTCCTCCTCGATCCTTCTCATCCCTTCCCTCCCCACTCGCTCCTCGACCCTTCTTTAGTTACTCCATGCCTCCCTCCCTCGCTCCCTCCTCCTCAATCCCCCCCCTCGATCCTCCTCCTCCTCCTCGATCCCTCCTCGATCCCTCCCTTCTCCCCTCCTCCTCGATCCCTCTTCCCTCCCCGCCTCCCTCCCTCCCTCCTCGATCCCCACCAGGCAGCCCAAGACGCGCGATGCTCAGCAGGCGAAATTTTTGTCCGCCGCCGGCGAACCCTCGCCGGAGACCCCCGAGGCCGTCCGAGCACGACTCATGACGAAGAGCCGACCCTGGGGCGAGGGTCCTCGATCCTCGATCCTCCTCGAGCCTCGACGCTCGATCCTCCTCGATCCTCGATCCTCCTCCCCCCCGCGATCCTCCTCGATCCTCGCCGCCTCTCGCCCCCCCCCCCTCCCCCGCCTCCTCCCCCCCCCGATGGGCGGCACGACAGCCGGCGCAGGGGCCCCGCGAAGCGATGAAATTTTTGCTGCTTCTTCGGGCGTGGGGCGGAATCCGGCGCCAGCTCCCAGGCAGCAGGGCCGCAAGAAGCGGCGTCGGAGAGGGGGCCGACGACGGCCCGACAGTCAAGCGGGGCGAGGCGAGGGCCACACGAAAGAGGCCACGAGCGGAGGGACCGGGCCGAACGGGAACCGCGCGTATTGGGAAGTCGACCGCGTATTTTTTGGAAGCAGGTTCGACCTCCCGACACACGCAGTTCACTTTGGAAGCAGGTTTTCTTGGAGGCAGGTTCGACTTCCCAATGCACGCAGTTTTTTTTGGTAGCAGGGCCGACTTCCCATTACACGCAGTGCATCTCAGGCCCGAGACCGCGTGCGAGGAAGAGATCAGGGCATGGGATGCCCAGGTCGGGATCACGACAGCGGGTGGCGTCTGCGATGGCGACTGCGATGACGACTGCTGGGGTCAGGACTGCGATGGCGGCTGCGATCGCGACTCGAGTGGTGGGCGAGCTACGTCCTCGCGGTCCAGACCCGTCCCAGGACTCATGTCGGACCGGAGGTCACGTTTTGGCTTGTGTCCCAACGGTGTTTCTGTGTTCCTGGTTTCCTTTTGGCCTCTCCTGCCACTCTGGCTCCTCAGGTCTAGCACGGTCTCCTCGCAGAAGATACCTCATGAACTTTAGCACTTTAGCAAACGAACCTAAAGGAAGGACTCGAAAAGAGCGTGACTTGTTAGCAAACGCCCCGGACTGATTTGGTGAACGCCAGTAAATCAGGGGTCGGGCCGGGTGTTCCTCCCTGAACTTCTTCTCCTTCTCCTGCTCCTGCCCCTCAAGAACCCTCGCCAACCTCTCACACCCACTAAAGTCCTTCTCTTCCTCCTCCGCCGCACAGATCCGCATGGCCCGCGGGGAGCTCCCCTCTGGGAGGTGGCAAAATTAGCTATTTTCCGAGGGCCCCTGGCTTATGGCAGGGCTCCCGAGAGCGCGAATGCCCACGGCCAGGCTTTTGATGACCGGTGGCAGGGACGAGGACCTCCGAAGATCCTCCATGCTGACGAGCATCAAGGACCGCGGCCCTCGCACTGGGGATGAGCGCAAACATGCGGTCACAAATCGGCAGCTGTTGAGTTCTGCGTAATATCAGCGGGGGCAACGCAGTCGCAACTGTCGGCGTCGCAATCGCAGCTGTAACCAAAAGGGCAGCAAGTGCCCGCGATCGGAGTCAGGCAACACACTTCGGTGCTGTGGCACACCGCCGACCACAGCGGCGATGCGCACGTGTTGTCCACGGGGCACTTCCTGGCTTGATCCTTGTAAGCCGAATT